TTTTTTTTTTTTTTGTATGTAATTACGTTGAACAACCGTAATTGAAAAATGAAAAGAAAACAAAAGAAAAACAGAAAAAAATCTTGTACTGCAACTTATTTTCTGGTCTTCGGTAAGGTACATTAAATATTAAAACAATTTATTTGCTATAAAAAAAAGGAGAAGAAACTTGATTGTAACAGAAGTTTATCAAATAATAAATTAGCAGAAGGACAAGAAATAGATTCATACTTTGAGTGCTAATCATTATTGAAATTACTGAAATGACTGACCGATTAACCCACTAATTGGCTGACTAACTAACCGCAGTGATGAGACTGGTGTAAACTAAAAATATGTTTAGTATGCATGTTAAAATTTGCAGTATTCTGACCAGTGAATGTATGGTTTTAGTCAGTTCTCTTTTTCCATTTTTTTTTTTGTCATCTGTTGAACAATAAATTCAGGTCTCTTATTCTGTACCAACTTCTGGATATTCGCCGAAATCAAATGCCAGTTTTATAGTTTCCAGAAAAATATACGGCTACAGTAGCAATAATTTTTTGGAAATTTATCATTACTTTTTTATTTTCTGCAAAAAAAAAATTTACTCTTAGTCTCAATGTCAAAAACATTTAATTTTTTTTCTGCTGGGCATCAAACTAATGGAGGAAAATTTACATTGTAAAAAAAAAAAGTTGTTGGACTGCCGTTGTTGGTAAAGTTCATAGATCAAAATAGCCCATAAGAATGGGACACCGTTCTGGTTTCCTGTCCGGTAGCTACATCAAATTCTGTTTTTCCGTACAGAGTACAACAACAACAGCAACTTTTATGTGGAACAACGAGTTTACCAGAAACAATAAACATGGCTTTTTTTCTGTTCATGTTTTTGGCCATTTTCCCAGACAGATAGGAAAGTTTACGGAAGTTTTCACACATTAACACCATCAGAAAATTGTCCACAGTAACAGACAACTGATGCGAACTTAATGACTGATTGTTTCATGTGACAAACTGATGGAAAAACTTGCGGATGTCCTCTAAACATAATTGCCCTTTGATCAATAAAATTTCTGATTTTTTCAATGTTTCGTCTAACGGTAACCAAATTAAGAATAGCAAATTGGACCATAGCCGATCCATTATCTGCAATAATTAGTGCATCTTATTTCCACTCGTTTTAGCAATAAGATTTGGCAACTTTACTAGAACTTGCCCAGTAATTAAGTTCAAGATAATACCGCTACACGACATTTTTTCATCTTTTCATTCCAATATTCTTTACCATGTTACATTTTGATTTTCAACTTCCTATTTTAGCAATTACAGACAAAAGGAGACAAAATTAAAAGAAAAATCAACAAAAATCTGAGTAATATTTTTGCCGAAACGGGCAATAGTGAAGTGAAGGATCATTAATAAAATTGTACTGCAAAAAGTTGGTCATCTAAAACATTTAAATTAATCGCTGAATTTGATTCTATTAAGCGTTGAAAATTTTTTTTTTGTTCCATTGACAAGCCCATTCCTTCTTTCGCCTCACGACAACTGTCAAAGTCATCAATTTGAAGAAAGATTTTTGGTCTTCTCCAGTCTTTAAAACATTTTGTCCAAACTTAAAATAGTTTTTTAGTTGCTGCAATTTCACCCTATTTACTTACAATTCCTTCCTCTTCTTGAACAAAGAAAAACTCTAAAAAGAGTTAGATAAGCTAATTGCACGCAAAAACTGTTGCTGGAACCGGTTGACTACATCTATTTAGTCCTGTATGCAATTTAAAAAATTATCCAACCTAACAGAGGCCGTTTGATACCGCTAAAAAATTTATGGTAAGGCTAAAGTTGGAGCGGCTAACAACACTTATCCAGATATAATAATATTTGAAAAAAAGAGGAAAACTTTTTTCCTTATGTTGTATAGTGTGCTGTTGTTTATTGGCAAAATTGTCAGTTATGTCAAACAGTTGTCATTAGAATGACATTTAAACATATTCAATAAGACACAAACCAAACCAAACCCAACCCTTCAACTAGTTTAAGCAGTAAGTTAAATTTTTTTCCCTTTCCTTCCTTTCTTTACCGATATTTTATGCGTTGCAAATTATTAATGCTCGTAGAGGAGCGTAGAAGAAAATAAGGAGAATAGAGTTAAAGTAAAAAAACGGAGCGGAAAAAATGAACTGTAAAATGTTATAATCAATAGCAAATACAGCAACTGTGTTCAGGCTACTAAAAAAGTTTACATCCCAATAGAGGATAATACAGATGATTATGCATAGTGAAAGCTATATTACAGCTGTGAACAAAACAGAAGAAAAAAGCAAATAGTCAAAGCAAAAAACTGAATCAAAGAAAAGTTAATTTTATCAGACAGTTTATCTGTTCTGTGTGTTATACTATACAATATACACATAATAATGTCATATTTAAATCAACTAAGCACTAATAGTATCGTCAAACTAAAGCAACTGTATCAGTTCGATTGTGTGTACGCGTTATCTTCCTTCTTTTTTTTTTTCTCGCTATTTTCATATAAGACAAAAAGCAAATATTGAGTTTTGATAACAACTTCTCAAATCACCGGCTGACCAGAAAAAAAAAATCAGTGCAATTTTTATATCCCAAACGATGTCCATTCACTTTTCCCCTCATTTCTTCCTCATTCCCTACCCGACTCATCCGCAATCCTCATCGATTTTTTCGCTCCGCGTTTATCCTCCACTTTGTTTTGTACCGGTAAACCTCTCTTACTGCCTATCCACTCTCTTTCATTACCTGGACGCATATTTCAACTAATTCAAAAAAAAGAGCCATTTCCTTTCGGTTCCCAAAACTATCTGCATCCGTTTGTCGTTGTTACCGCCTAATATCCTACCTTAGACCCATTTCATCTCGCGTCGGCACATCTCATTCGTCCTTACGTCCCGGTAAACAAACATTTAGACTCCGGTCAGTTGTGTGAGAAGAAGGGAACAACAACTGGAGGGGGACGAAGATTTGTGAATAAGACAAGGAGACAGTGCTGAGAGATATGTAAACATCAAAATGAATGCAGTAGTATACGGCAATCAACAGTTTGTACATCATCAGTGATTTTTAAAAGATGATTTAGAAGTGAAATAACTACCGATGAATAGTGGGTAGGTGAAAGAAAATAAGAAAACGGAAAAAAAAGATTAAAAACTACGAAAAGAAAAAAATTTTTGTTTTTTTTTTAATTTCAATTTTATTTTTATCCATTTTTTTGACTGCAGGAAAACTGGCTGTGATTCCATTACACTAAATCAGTATCCCAAATACTTGATCAAAATGAAAATTACATTAATAACGCTAATTTGTTTTTTTCCAGTAGACTGTTCCATTGTACATAGAATTCACTAGAAAATCTTAAAACTTTTTCTGGGCAAAATATTTAATGTTTCTAACTAAAAAGCAACATTTTTTCGTCCATTATCATTCTTCCGATTTCTTCGCTGCCATACTCCACCATTATCATCGACAACATTTTGCAAATAGTTATCCACAGAGTTTCCACCAATATGATCCGATGTATGCAAATATTGGTTCATTTCAAGCAATCCGTTGAGACGCTCACGTTGCTAGAATAAAGTGCGCAATTTAACACCTTGGTTTTCTTTTCCACTTCCATATCTTTCAAAACTATATTGAAACTGAAAGACAAAGATGTAAACAGAGTAACAAAAAGCAATTAAGATACTGACCTCATTCATGAACCTGTTGATCATCTGGTGTTCCGAATCAGTTATATTCCGCTGGTTACGCTCATTCCTTTCCTTTTCCTCTCTAGCACCTTCAGCCTTCACTTTTTCAATCATTGCCAGCTTTTCCGCACTCAAGTGACTCTTCAGATATACATCAATTGTTTGGCGAACTTCCTGAACAAAAAAAAACCATAAAAAAGTTCTAAAATAAAATTTGGATCAACAGTTTTCAATTTGTTGACAAATAACAGTAACCGTTACTGACATCCTGAGTTTTTCCGGTTGCTCGAGCTTGTTTAATCACTTCCAACAGTTCCTGTCGCTGAGCACCTGGAAAACAAAAGAAGTACTTGATATTCAGGAAAAAAAAAGACTTAAAAGCTACAGTTCATGCAAATAGATGCTAATAGTGGAACTTTATTGCTTTTATGAATCTGCGAATGTTTTATCAACGTTTTAACAACAAGAATTTCAGCTGAAAATAAAACAGACAAAACAAACAGCCTTTCGTTTATTGTGTGTCGAATAAAAAAGCAACCAAAACTTTTGAACAATTACCTTCTAAATACTCGCTGAATGGTGGTCCAACTCGACGAACTTTTTTAAACCTTATAGTCCGAGCACCGTCTTTTTGCTTCTTTTCCTTCAATGGCATCTTTATTTTTTGTTTGGAGTGTATATCGCTGTGTCCCCGTAATTCCATCTTCAAAAAAGCTAGCCGAATTATAGGATCATCAAAAGAATTTTAAAAAAAGCGAAAAAACTGCAGAAAAAGAAATATTAAGCAAATATGACACTGATTATAGGGGTATCTGTCACCTGTTTAGCTGCAGATGAATTACTGCTTGAAAACAAAGCAAAAAAAAATTCTCGAAAAGTAAACAAGTATCAAATGCTTTTAAGACTTATACGTACACTGATGTCTCAACCGTTTTATACGTATAGATGACACAATTTTACATAACTTTTTCACTATCACTTTTATAAATTTTGATTGCATTAGCAATATATGTTATATTTCCACAAATCATTCGCAGAAAAATATTAAACAATCAATAATATTTTTTTTGTCTTCAACATAGTAAATCTATTTTTGATAACCGTTCTTATTTCACCAAAACACCAGTGGTAATCCGTGGTTTTCAAACGTTTTTTCATTTTAAAAAAAAAAAAAAAAGGAAAAATATACTTGAAAGAAACACTTCAACTGCTTCATTATTTCTTTAAAATCAATTCATAAACTCTTCCGCAATATAAGACTACAGGATCTTCCTAATTAACAGTTTTTATGTTTCAAAAGGGGAATTATTTGGTAACAACTTACTTCGCGTAAACCATATTTAGATGGTTGAAAAATTTCTTGTATTTTACTGTTTTCGTTGCCATCCAACTGTTCCGTCGCTGGTTTTGGATATCCAGTGGAAAGCATTACCAAAAAGGGCAGAAGAGCAAACACATAACACTTCATTTCTGGACCTGTTGTTGTGGACGTTAATTATTGTATTGAAAAAAATTATTTGAAAAATTCGAAACGAAATGTTGTTCAATAGATAGAAAAAAAAAATTCAAAAATATTATTAGTAACATAACTATACTAAAAAAATCACTCAAAACACAGTTGTTCAAAAATGAAAGTTGACTGTACAACTAGTAATATGACAGCAGTGAAGCACCATTGAATAATTCTTTTTTTTTTT